GAAATTATCTATGAAGGTGGTTATTTTGACGAACATGTTTATAATTGCGATGAAACTGGTTTATTTTGGAAGCTGTTACCGTCGAAGTCGCAAGCAACAGCAAGCGGCCCACATAAAATCAGACACAAACAAAATAATCAACGCAATGTTTACAGCAAACATAATCATGATTTTATTCGAATACTTCCTGACACATGTGATGATACATCAATTAACTAAACCGAGGGTTTATATGTGCTTTTTATATGTTTTTCAATGCACGACCTCCCTCTTTCACGACGTCCCTCGGTAAGTCGCGGCCCTCGATAAGTCGCGGTTTTTGCTTGGATCCCAACACCCGCGACTTAGCGAGGGGCCACTGTACTTCTATGTACTAACGAATTGAATAGATAATATCGGCCGATATGAATAATGAATTGAAAACCTTTTTTACATTACATTTACAATTTACATTATTATTTTAATGTAATTCTTTATTTGACTGTTCCCATGAGTCATATCAATTTTGATTGAAAGTAATTTGTCAAATAACTTTACTATGAAAAATCAGACATTAGAGAGCTCAATGTGACTGCTTGGTGTCGACCATACATTCCCAAACAAAAACAGAATAAAATGGCAGCACACATACCCTATATGACAGCGGTAAGCCTGTTTTATTGACCATCCAGTACGGGGCATACACAGCCATGTCTTTGAAACCTTTATTGTAATCTACAAATATGCCCAGTTCTACTGTCACTTCCTGTGTTCCCTGATAAGCTGTAAATTTCAATCCAGATAATTCTTTCATTCCATTTCTTAATGTCATCTTGGCTGTCCATTCTTTCTCAAGATAGTCAGGAATCTGGAAAAGTATTGATTTAAATTATGCTAAACTAAATTACCCCATATACTGTATATATATGTGGTTATTTGATCCTTATCACCTCATGAATAGGCATGATTTTATTAGATGCATATCGCCTCACGAATATGCATGGCGTTATAGGATGGATATTACCTCATTAATATGCATGAAGTTAATTCATATCACCTCATAAATATGCATGAGGTTATTAGATGCATATCACCTCATGAATATGCACGAGGTTATTTGATTCATATCACCTCATGAATATGCACGAGGTTATTAGATGCATATCGCCTCATGAATATGCACGAGGTTATTTGATTCATATCACCTCATGAATATGCACGAGGTTATTAGATGCATATCGCCTCATGAATATGCACAAGGTTATTTGATTCATATCACCTCATGAATATGCACGAGGTTATTAGATGCATATCACCTCATGAATATGCACGAGGTTATTTGATTCATATCACCTCATGAATATGCACGAGGTTATTAGATGCATATCGCCTCATGAATATGCACGAGGTTATTTGATTCATATCACCTCATGAATATGCATAGGGTTATTTGATCTATATCACCACCACATGATTGTGCATGAGGTTAATTCATATCACCTCATAAATATGCATAGGGTTATTTGATCTATATCACCCACCACATGATTGTGCATGAGGTTAATTCATATCACCTCATAAATATGCATAGGGTTATTTGATCCATATCACCATATGATTGTGCATGAGGTTAATTCATATCACTTCATAAATACGCATAGGGTTATTTGATCTATATCACCCACCATATGATTGTGCATGAGGTTAATTCATATCACCTCAGAGATATGCATGAGAATATTAGATGTGGACAAACAAATCTATGCAGTATAATCAATCATAAACTAAAATAATTGAAATAATTTTACAATGTCTTTGTTCAGGTAGAAATTGGCCTCCCTGGGATTCATACATGTAACATGTCACTAAACGGCTGCAGCATAATAATCCAGTGTAGATGGAACATATCTTTATTGTCTATGCATATTGTCCATACTTGAACACATACAGAGCAATTGTTCTATGGTTATGTTAATTCTACTTTTTAGTAAGATTTTGTAATTGTGACTAAATAATAAGGCTGAATAAGGCCATGTCATGTTTGAGTCAAATCGGGCAGAAATGGGGATGGGGACTGAACAAGCTCTGACATACAGAATTTAATTTAAAAGCAATCCACATATTTTAAGAACAAACAAGAGCTATTCATAAATCATGCAATTACTTACTCTGAGTTCCAAAACTTTACCAAGGTCGGCATTAAACAATGGTTTGACTTCACCTTCACCCAAAGAGATTTCATCAGCTGCATCCTATGACAACAGTGAGAAACTTAAAATCAATTTAGCCAATATAGCCATGGGATATTTTTACTTAAAATTCTTTTTCCAATATTTTGAATAACCTATATTTAACAATTTAAAATTGTCTTATATCACTTGGCTTCATCATGTTTCAAAAGAATGCCAAAAAAATGTGTGTCAATTTAAGCTTTTTTTTCTTTTTTTGGCTAAAATATTGTAAAAACACAAAAAAGGTGCTCCCTGCAAAAACAATTTTTGCAAGATGAACAAAAAGCATCTGCTCTTGCATTGTAACTGTACCTGCACTACACACTTCATTTTAACTGGTAGCAAGTTTTTGACTCTTACAGTCGGCAATACATGCAAAGTGTAGGTGGGCGTTTTATCTAAGGATCCTTTAATATAAGTATATTCATCTTTCTCAATGGATACCTAAAAAAATAAACAAAAAAATCAATAAGAATAAGAATATACACTTAATTAAATCTTAGTTAGTAAACAAACTTAACAATTAATCGATAAAAAAAGCAAGTATTGTTAAACTTTTGAACTCCATAATTATTTCTTATGAAACATACATAATTTCTTGTTCCAGTCTTGATCAATTTTTTTAAAAAAATATGGAAAAATTTATGATTAAAAATTATTTTGCGAAATATAGTACCAGTTCACAGTGATATTGAAAGCATGTATACATAGTATATGATGAAGCTCCATCATCATCAAGTACACTTAAACTAAAGATGAGTCTATTCCTTTCAGGTACTGATTTTTCATTGTATCCACGATGTTGCTGCAGGAAGCGTTCTAGGTTCTAGTTTCATAATTCTCGAGAAGATCAGCTGTGATGCAAGTTCAGCTTTGATTCTCCAGCAATACTCTGCAAATCTCAGCCAGCGTTTTTGTAGAGTTGGTGATCTTCACACACCAAACTTAAATTATCATATGTTTTGTTTTATTCTCATGGTAACATAATAAATAAAATAAATATAAATATATACATTTTTTTGTTTCTAACCAAAAATAATTTTAGCTTAGTAGAGTTACATGCAATGACATCACACTGGTAGGTAGAACATTTTTTTCCACCAGTAGTAGTATGAGAATTGCCAAGTGAGTACTATAGTTGTCAAAGTTTACTTGTAACCAGTGTACATTGTTCGTTGGACACTAGATTGCTAGAACAAATTTGATTACAAAATTGACTAAAATTTTAGTTATTATGAATTTATAATTAATACTGTTTAACTTCCGCTGATATTAAGTGGTTAATCAACGTAAAAGTTTGATTAAGCCTAAGAAAATATATACAAATACTGTACAATACTTTATTTTAGCTGGAATTAATTTTCGATGAAAAGACTTTTTGGGTGTTTAGTATGGAATTTATTTTAACTTGTTGATTT